ATTTGGATTTGGGCTTTGGGGAAAGGGAGAGGCCCTGCTTATGTCTTGAACCAGAGGGTAGTGCTATAATCTAGTTTACCAAAGAACATGACTTTGGGTTGTCTAGCTCTGTAATCCTGGGGGAAAGTGGTACTTTGATTTCCCTTTTATTTTTTTTAAACATACATCTTTATTTTTTTTTTCTGCAGTTTTTGGCCAGGGCCAGGTTTGAACCCGCCACCTCTGGTATATGGGGCCGGCGCCCTACTCCTTGAGCCACAGGCACCTCCCTGATTTTCCTTTTGATAACCTTTTCCTACTCTTACCTCTCTTTTCTCCTCTCGCTACCTGCTGTTTCCCTTTTACCATCTCTCTCCCTTTCTCTCATGTGTTTTTCTATGTAGGGTAGAATTTGTATATTCCTGAGTTTTAGTTCAATGCTTCAAATCTTTTTCATGTCTGGCACACACAGAAAATGTTTCAGGACCAACCAGGGTAATTCTTAGGCCTTAGGTTCTGTGTGCCTGTTGTTTTTCAGTCATAGCCTATTAGTGAAGTCAGTCAAGTGAGCTGCCACTGTCATTAGAATAAATGAATATAATAGAATGCAGCATTGGTGAGAGAACTGTATAAAGGTGTGTGTTCGTAACCTTGCAGTATGAAATGTTTTTATGTGGGTCATTGTCAAACTTTGAAAGCTGTTTGCTTTGCTTTAGCCAAATACTAATTAATAATGCCCACATCTCTCTTGAGTTGCATCATTCTTAAACAGGGGGAAAGATATCTGAGCAAAGATTTAGACTTAAATTGCAAAATGTGAACAATGAAACAATTATCAGGAGATCAGCTGGGTAAACCATGACATAATACTTTTAGGTGATTTGCTCAAGGTAATATTCTGTTATCTATCTTCAGTGTTTTTAAGGTTTACAGTGAAGGTCTAGACCAGTGGTTCTCAACTTTCCTAATGCCACAGTGTATTTTCATTGTTAAAAAGGGGTCATAACCCACAGTTTGAGAACTGCTGGTATAGAGGTTAATAATGCCTTTCTTGGAGTTTTGTAGAGTCAGCAGAGTTTCTTTCTTTCTTTCTTTTTTTTTTTTTTTTGAGACAGCACCTCAAGCTGTCACCCTGGGTAGAGTGCCATGGCATCACAGCTCATAGCAACCTCCAACTCATGGGCTCAAGAGAGTCTCCTGCCTCCACCTCCCAAGTAGCTGGGATTGCAGGTGCCCGCCACAACGCCCGGCTATTTTTTTTTTTTTTTTTTGTTTGCGGCTTCATTGTTGTTTGGCGGGCCTGTGCTGGATTCGAACCTGCCAGCTCAGGTGTACGTGGCTGGCGCCTTAGCTGCTTGAGCCATAGGCACCGAGCCAAGTCAGCAGAGTTTTAAGAAACAATTAATATAGCATAATATGCAGGTAACATCAGAAATAAATTTGAGCCTGTTCTGCTGTGCAGCCTTGGCCAAGTTATTTGTCCTTTTTTATCTGTGTACTCATCCATAAAATGAAGCTAGTAGTGAGGTTGCTAAGAGTCGGAAGTACAGTAATAAGTACAAAGTGCTCCGCACATAGCTTGAACACCTGTAAGCAGAGTTCATTTCAGGCTAAGTTTTGCCTTCAACATTATTAAATCTTTCTTAGTTTCTTCTTCAGGTCACAATTCAGCTAATATTATTAGATGCTTGTTTGGGGCATAATAAAAACTTCCTACCTGGGTGCGGTGGCTCATGCCTGTAATCTTAGCCCTCTGGGAGGCTGAGGGTAGGTGGGTTGCTTGAGATTAGGAGTTAAAAACCAGCCTGAGCAAGAGCAAGACCCCATCTTTAAAAAATATAGCCGTGTGTTGTGGGCACCTGTAATCCCAGCTACTCTGGAGGCTGAGGCAAAAGAATCACTTGAGCACAGGAGTTTGAGGTTGCTGTAAGCTATGATGATGCCAGGGTACTCGTCCCCAGGGTAACAGAGAGACTCTGTCTCAACCGCCACCCCCACCCCACCCCCAGCTTCCCTAGTTACTTTATAGGAGTTTGAGACAGTTAAAATCAGAAAAATAATAAATATGAAAAGCCCTGTGCAAATTTATGGTAGTATTAATTCCAGTAGTAGCAATAATAGGACACCTGTTTGCATTGTGTATGAGCCAATTAATAAATGTATGTCCAAATAGGGAGACTCATTTGTTCATTCAGATGGGAATACTTTTAGTTCTGTAAAAGTGCTGACCTCCTTTTCCTGCCTTCATGTAGCATTCTTTTCTGCCTGAAATATTCTCCCCATCCCCACTTCTAATGCCTGCCTATCTAGTAAAAATTTTTTTAAGCTTATTTCAGTGTATAATGAGGGCACATATGTCTTGGTTACATAATTTGCTTTTGTTAAGTTTTAAGTCAAAGTTACAGGTGTGCCCCTAGTAAATTCTTTTTGTTTGAAACAGTCTCACTAGAGTGCTATGGGATCAGCTTAGCTTAAAGCAACCTCAAATTTCTGGGTTCAAGGTGTCCTCCTGCCTCAGCCTACCAAGTAGCTGGGACTACAGGCACCCACCACAGTACTGGCTAATATTTTTTATTTTTAGTGGAGACTGGGTCTTGGCTTTTGCTCAGACTATTCTTAAACTTGTGAGCTTAAGTGATTCTCTGACCTTGGCCTCCTGGAGTGCAGGAATTGCAGGCAGGAGCCACTGTGCGCAGATCCCCTAGTAAATTCTTAGAGACATAATACCATTTCAGAAAGGCCTTCCTGGACCATCTAGTCTGAGTTCATCTCTCAGCTGAACTTTTTAATATCACTTAAGGGTGATTGGAGGGATCACTTCTATGGTTTATCTTACAAGGGTACAAGTGAATCTTTCTAAGAGTAGAATATAAACGTCTTAACACAATAACTAAGGAATGACATAAAGACTATGTTAACCAGTTTGATGAAAATATTTCAAATTGTATATGAAAACACCACACTGTACCCCATGATTGCATTAATGTACACAGCTATCATTTAATAAAAAAAATCATAGCATTAATTAGTATGTGGTTCTTTTTTTTGTTTGTTTTCTTAGTACATAGTTCTTGATTTTGTTTCCTGTTTTCTCCCTTACCTACTAGAGTGTAAAAACTGAAGAACAGGGATCTCACTTGTATTGTTTATTATTTTTTCTGCACCTAGATCCTAAGTGCCTGACAAATACTTGTAGAATATTTGAGTGTAATTTAAAAGATGAAAAAATTATCCTTAGTCATAATTTCTAGAGATAAATTGCTGGTGAGGATAGTATGGTATATAGTTTTCTAATTTTATTTTCTGTGTATGCTTATGTATTTACAAATGCCTGTGATAATGCTTTTGTAGTATATTTCATTGATTCTAAAGATGAACATTTTTTTACTGTATAAAGTCTCTGAAATTAGAATGTCTTGTAATCAAGGGCATGTCATGGTTTAATTGGCAGCATTTTTTTCTTTATGAGTTGTACATAAAATAAGGATGTCTTAAAATCCACAACATCTTAGATAGGATGAAATATGGTATATATCTGAAACAAAATGGGATCATAATGTTCACTTCTTTTCCCTACCAGAATATCTTGAGCATTTCCCCATATTGCTATTTTTAGATCTATTTTATTTTTAAGAATTATGATTAAATATGTATTGTAACTTGTTCAACCAATTCTTCTTGGTGGACATAGGGAGCTTTTCCAATTTTTTTTTTTTCTGTTACAAGCAGTGCTGTTTTGATTATCTTTGCGTATGCCTTTATGCTCTTGAGTGATATTTCTGTCCTTAGCTAACTAGATTGGTGGATACCCATACTTCCTGTAATATACAAGGATACCTGTTTCCCTGCATCCTTGTGAGAATTGCATCTTAGTACAATAAATTTTTGTTAATCTAAGTGAAAAATACTTAGTGTTTTCATGTTGTTTAATTATTTAAGAAATGGAGCTGCTTTTCATGTTTATGAGTTGTTTTTATATCTTCTGTTTTCCTTCTTTGTACATAAGATAGTAGACTTTGAATTGACTGGCAGATTAGTTGTAATTACAGAGAGAAACCTTCTTTATCATATTGGAAGTTCTTGAAACAACTTTCTGGCCTACAGAGCCTACCCTTGTGGAGGATAGGAAGGCTTTGTATTTCAAGGGTCCACAGTTGGGAGAGAGAAAGAATTCAGGAATAACCAGAATTGTATAATCTCCTTTATACTCTGTTAACGGAGGCCAATAAGGATTTCAGTATCAATCTGTGAGCTGAACGGTGGAATTTAGATTATGCTGTTAGTCTTTAAATTTCAAATATTCTTCTCAAACCTTGTTCTTCTTTAATAGGACTTGGTTGTAGTGCAGTAGTTTCAGTTCAGTAGGTTTGAAGTAGGACACAACTATGGGGCTTGAATGAAGTCAGTATTGGATCCAGAGATTAAACATATGATTGTTTAGATTTTTTTCCACATGTTGTTAAAATGTTTTTGTTAACAGTTTTAAAAAGCTTTGCTGTGTCAGACTGTCAGTTTCAAAGATGAGTATAAGATACTCTCTGCTCTTTAGGCTCCACAATTGTGTATAAGGAGACAGATTTCAATCCTTTGGTAAAAGTGAAGCTAGAATATACATGTCATATTGAAAGCATGGAGGAAAGTTTTTAGTATAGGAGTTTAAGGGAGGCTTCCTGGTGGAGATAATGATAACCTGTACTGAGTCTTGAAGGATAAGTAAGAGTTAATTGGAGTGGTAAGTAGTAAAGGAAATGCAGTGAAATGGACTGCAAGTAGTAGGGGGTATTAGAATAATGCAACATCTGAGGTGAAAAGTGACTTAAAGGTGAGGCTTGGGAGATAAGCAAGAACTGGGTAATGAAGGGCCATGCTAAAGACCTGTATTTTATAGGTTAAGGGGGGATCATTTGAGCAATGGCAAGGTCAAATGAACATTTTAGAGATCATTGCCTAAAGATTGATTTAGGGGCAAAGCTGAAAGCAAGGAAACACGTTGGAAAACAGTTCCAGTAATCCAGGTGAGAGAATTAAGTCCTTGGCTCAGTGATACTAACTAGTAGGGGGAAAATGGTAGTCTTTTTTTTTTTTTTTTTTTTTTAGTTTATATAATACAGTAGAACCTCTGGAAGTTCATCACCCAAGGAACTGTAACAAACTAGTCAATATACAGAGGTGGTCAATATAAGGAACTAGGCCTACTGTACTGATATGTACATATGGTACATGTCCAGTCTATGAAAATTAGATCAAGTTAAGGAGGCAGTCAGTGTGGGGAGTTGGTCAACTATGGATATTTTACTATATTTGGTTCTCAGTTCAGAATCTCATTGAGATTAAATTTAATGAAACTGTTTATTATTTTGTGGAGATGACTGATTAATTGCTGAATTATTTTTTATTTGTCTGTAGGGTTTATACTTTTATAAATACCAGCATAAATAGTGTGGTGCTATATGGAGATGGTTATTGTTTTGATTATAATATTTAAGAGATGTTAGTCCTTTTGGTGTGCTTAGTGATTATCTTAGAGGGAAAGAAGTTTGGAACATTTACTTCTAGGAATTTAAAATGTCTGTGTGCTAATTTCTTTCTTTCTTTTTTTATTCTTTTTAAGGGTATTAGGAGAAGATGGTGGATCGCTTGGCAAACAGTGAAGCAAACACTAGACGTATAAGTATAGTGGAAAATTGTTTTGGAGCAGCTGGTCAACCCTTAACTATACCTGGACGGGTTCTTATTGGAGAAGGAGTATTGACTAAGTTGTGCAGAAAAAAGCCCAAAGCAAGGCAGTTTTTCTTATTTAATGATATTCTAGTCTATGGCAATATTGTCATCCAGAAGAAAAAATATAACAAACAACATATTATTCCCCTGGAAAATGTCACTATTGATTCTATCAAAGATGAGGGAGACTTAAGGAATGGATGGCTTATCAAGACACCAACTAAATCATTTGCAGTTTATGCTGCCACTGCTACTGAGAAATCAGAATGGATGAATCACATAAACAAATGTGTTACTGATTTACTCTCCAAAAGTGGGAAGACACCCAGTAACGAACATGCTGCTGTCTGGGTTCCTGACTCTGAGGCAACTGTGTGTATGCGTTGTCAGAAAGCAAAATTCACACCTGTTAATCGTCGTCACCACTGCCGCAAATGTGGTTTTGTTGTCTGTGGACCCTGCTCTGAAAAGAGATTTCTTCTTCCCAGCCAGTCCTCTAAGCCTGTGCGGATTTGTGACTTCTGCTATGACCTGCTTTCTACTGGGGACCTGGCCACATGCCAGCCTACTAGATCAGACTCTTACGGTCAATCATTGAAGTCCTCTTTAAATGATGTATCTGATGATGATGATGATGATGATAGCAGTGACTAAGGACACATTTTGCGATATTTAATTGGGTATGACTATCTGAGAAATCAACTGTGGGGGAAATGTAAAATTCTGAGCTGTGTCTCAGTTTTGCTCTAGCCATGATTTGCCTGAGAAACTTGTAACCTATGTGCCTCAAAATATTCTTAGGAAGTAGTTTCCCCTGCCTTTTCCCCCTCCTTGCACTCTTCCACAGGGATAGACTTTTGCAAATATATCACCTACATTTTTTTTTTCTTTTTTTCCTTGCAGTTTTTGGTCAGGGCTGTGTTTGAACCTGCCACCTCTGGTATATGGGGCCACTGCCCTACTCCTTGAGCCATAGGCGCTGCCCCTACATTTTTGTTTCTTGTTTATTTTTAGATTATTTTCTTGGAAGTTTGAGAAAAGATGTTTATTAACAGATCATGTACTACATTGTTATTTTCATTTGTTTTGTGGAAAAACTAAAAGCACACAGTGATGGGGAAAGGAGTGTAATGTGGTTAGATAACGCTGTTATTAGCATTTGTCTAACCATCCTATCTAAATGGTTAAGACACCAGTAACAAAAATATGGGATTTGGAAGTTCTTTTTGGCTTTTTCATATACCTAGTGGTGCCTTATCATAATATCACTGTTACACAAAATAAGCCCCTACCTTCTCACTTTTTGGTTTGTTTCAAAAATTATACTGGTGCTCTTTGAAGTGATAAAATGAGTGTTTATGACTGCATATAATTAGGAAATACTTGGCCGTCTAATAGCTACAAATAACTAATAGAGGTTGTTCATTCTATCGCTTCTCGGCCTTTTGGCTAAGATCAAGTGAGGTATTTTCATTCTGTATGAATACATATCTTTCCATTTGATTATATTTTTAGGTTTTATGGGTCTCAAATTATAATTGTCAAACATATATTTTAAATTAATAGCTTGTCATTCTTAGGAATTTGGTTTGAAAATTATAAATAATATAGAATTGTCATATTGCTTTTACTTTTAGTTAATACATTTTTAGATACAAATTCATCTGCTGTAACATTATTTCAAGAATGAAAATCTTCCTATAAAACCCTTGAAAATAAACAATCTCTTTAAACAAAATCCCATAATAGAGCACAGATTTACTTAGGTTTGAAGATTTGGAAGAAATAATACATTAAGTCTAAGTTTGACTAGACTTCATATTTGATTGTCTATTTCAGTGTGAAACTAGCTTGAATTTACAAATATAGTGTTATATTTTATAAAGTTTTGTAAAGTCCCAAACAGTATTTCTATTTTTGTAAAACCGTTGTATGTATAATGTTTCTGAAATAATTTTGCAGTCTATGGAAATAGAGTAGCAATTGATATATCTAAATTGTGAACTTTAAGTCAGTCTAGCTTTGTTTTGAGAAGTGGAAAGTTTTCAGTCTTTGCTGTTGAAGCAGCCGTTAGGATGAAAGTATATTTATCATATAAAACTTGATACGTTTTGCACTACTCTCCATTGGTATGCTGCAAATAACTACCATCTTTGAAATATGGGAAATCAACAGTTTAAAGCTTGTTTTAAATTCTCAATTTAAGAAAAATCTTTAAATTTGGATATACTTCAACTTCTGATGGAGGATTCTTTGATATTTTATTATTTGGTTAAGGCACTAATTTTACTGCTAAATTTCGAAAACACGTGAGATATATATAGATCTCCCTGTAGGAATGTAAAAAAAAAAGCACAATGGGACTATGATATTTTGAGGTTTTTTTTTTTCCAATATCATATATGGGCCTTTGTGTCTAAGCAATATATACATATAATCAGTCAACATATCTGAAAAGGGCCATGGAACCTGAGAAATGCTAATGGAGATTTGCTGGTTCTTAGGAAACTAGCAAATTCAGGAACTAAGGGGAAATGTTCTGAGATAACATTTGCATTGTCAATGTCTGTGTCAACCTTTATTGATTGTTTCTACAATAAAAAGTATTTTACAACTTACCTTCTGTTCTCTGTATATTACAACTTGAAGATTTCCCTGCCTTTGCTAAGATAATAAAGATATGCATGTTTTTCGTCATTATTCCATAGCTCTCCGAGTGCCTACTTTGTGCCAGGCATCATTCTAGGTACTAGGGTAGAGCAGTCAACAAAAATTCCCTTTCTCTTTACAGTATTTTGTGAGGTGGCACTTTTGAGACTATGTAAATACTGTTTTCTTCATCAAACTTTCAGTTTCTTAATTCACCTTTTATAGGTTTTTTTTTTTGGGCTGGGGCTGGGTTTGAACCCACCACCTCCAGCATATGGGGCCAGCGCCCTACTCCTTTGAGACACAGGTGCCGCCTCTAATTCACCTTTTAATATTACTGTGGACTCACGGTTTCCTAAATCAATGGTTCTCAAACTTGAGTGTCATCACAATCCCTTGGAAGGCTTGTTAAAACGTAGACTGCCGAGTCTTGTCTCCAGGGTTCCTGATTCTGTAGGTGGGGAATGAGACCTGAGAACTTCCCTTTCTATCAGGTTTCCAGGGATACTGTTGCTGCTGGTCCAGGGACCATTCTTTATTACAGGTTATTTTAATGCTCAAACTGTATCTAATTTGGCTAGTGGCAAACTGGCTTCTGTGGTATATTGAAAAATCTTCATTAGTTGAGCTCTTTACTGTTACCAGATGTTCCAGGCTCATTTTGTACTTTTCTCTTCCCAGCTCTGGAATTGGCCATTTCTCCAGGGAGTCTTGGTTTCTTTTAGTGGAGAGTGGTATGTAGAAGCTAAGATCTGAGCACCAGGTGTGCTCATCGTCTTGGGGATATTAGCACTTCTAATAAATCTAAAGAACTTATGTATGTACATGTATACATTTATGTCTAAATGTCTAACCTACACATGAAATTCATACTAACACCTCTGATTCTAACACTATAGGATTCCTCCTTTTTCTGACCATGATGGCCTGGGGCTCACTAGCTTTAATATTTTTAAATTATTTGATTAATCTCCCTGCTTGTAGCTAATCTCTCATCACCACCGCTGCCTCTCTGCCTCACTCCACTCAGGCTCTGACGCTTCGTACCATGCTGTTCCCATCACACACATGCCCTCTAGCCCACTGGGCTCTCACACTGCCTGCTGGCCTTCCCCATGTGGGCATCCTTCTCGCCTGTTTGTTCTCCAATACTTCCTTCTGGGCTGCTCCCTATAAGGGTACCCTCCACACCTCACTTGGGCTCCATTGCTCAGCACTGAGCCACCTCTGCATGGAGGAGTGCCCACTTCTCCCTGCCTGGTTATGACACTCCACTCAGGGCTGCCCACACAAAGGCACACTTTGATGCCCTGATTGGGTCACCCCCATACCTGAGTGTCCTCTTCTCCCTGTTTGAGTTCGATGCCAGGCCCTGAGCCTTCCTCTGTGTCAGTACCCTCACTGTGATACTCTACTTGGGGTCCAGAATTATGCACCAAGTTGCACACATACCAGGCTGCTTCCCATGTGGCACTTCACCTTATTTGGGCTCTGACTCCTTGAGGCTGCTCCGTATTCATGACCCTACCATACCCCTGCCCATATGCATTGCTACGCTCCTCAACCAGCTCTGACTCTGCCCCTCACACCAGGCTGCTGCTCTGCGTGATGCCCACCTTGCTGTGGCCTACTTGATGACTTAGGATTGAATTTTTCAGAAGGTGGAAGGGGTTGCCCCACAATATATGCATCATAGTAAGTCTTGGGAGAAATAGAGAAAAAGAAGTAAAGCAAGCCAGTAACCAGGAGAAAATCTTTTTAAAACAAAGTCACCTGGCAGCGTGAAGAAGTAAGGTAGATAAAATAGAACTCTCAAACTGCTCTAGCTGAAGTAAGGCCTGGAGAGCTAAGAACCAGGCCAGGCTCTTGGCATGTCTCCACTGTGGCAAGGTCCTAGGGAGGTTGAAAACCACTGCTTTAAACAAAGTCAGTTGACATTTGTCCTAGCCTCTAAGCACTCAGTTGCCCAAGATATTGCAGTTTTTGGTTGTTCATATTTAAGTTTTTTATATTCTACGTAAATGATAAGTTCATATGTTTCAGTTGTGTGACCCTGACATGGAGTAGGGGGAGATCTGGAGGGAGGAGACTTAGGAACTGAATTTGGATGAGGAATTTGTGAGTGGAATTTTCTGGAAAAAAAAAAAAATTTTTTTTTATGGGACAGTCTCACTCTGTTGCCCTGGTTAGAGTACCATAGCATCAGCATAGCTCACGGCAACCTAAAACTCCGGGGTTCAAGGGCTCCTACCTCAGCCTCCTGAGCAGCTGGTACTACAGACACCTGCCATAGTGCCTGGCTAATTTTTTCTATTTTTAGTCTACTGAAGAGACAGGGTCTCACTCTTGCTCAGGCTGGTCTTGAACTCCTAAGCTCAAGGGATCCTCCAGCTTTAGCCTCCCCTACTGCTAGAATTACGGGCATAAGCCACCACATCTGGCTGAAAACTCGACATTTTACATCTAGTGATTTAGAAATAGCTTCTGTGATTTAGAATATTTTAGTAGTAGCATTTAAGGTCTTAAAGTGAAAAGAATCAATGACAAAATGTTAAAAGCAGCTTTAGTTGGCTAAATATTAAGATGCCAAATTGTTACTATCTTAACTTCAACCAAAGCAAGTTATAGTGTCTAGGCTAAATGGTATAGATTAATATAATTCCTTATTTTCATTGGGAATTTCCCTTCTGCATAGTGTGTACAAGTATTATCTATGCTCATGATGTATAGTGTGTTATAATTAAATTAAATTTATTTTTATTTATGAAGTTTTAATTTCATGCTGAGGAACTGAGGTGTTATTGAGTTAGATCATATTAGAGAGCATGAAAGTGCTAGGAATATGATATTTGGGTTAATTTTTATTTATTTGGTGCTATGACTGAGATATGAACAAGTTAAGTTAAAAAAAGGAATTTAAAAGCATTATTTTCACATAACTGCCTTTTGATCTTTTAACAACAGTTCAATGTTTAAGTGACTATCAGTTGTAAATGTGAATTTTTCCTATTGTGGACAAGAGAAGGTTAATATTTTATCAGCAAAAAACTTCATAAAATTAGTTGTGGTTATTGTCATGGATATGTTGTCCCCGTTTCCTTGTTATTATAGACACGGATTTTAGTTATAATCATTATAGATGTGATTCTAAAATTTAATATAAACTGTTTATACCTAATATAGAAAATTATCTTGAGATGTTTAGAGGTAATATGTTTTTGCAAAAGCAGGTG